AAATAAGTAAATCAAAGTAGAAAAATCATTTCTAACCATCTTGTTTGAATTACGTAGACAAAGAAAAGAAAATAAACACCAAATATTTTGGAGAAGAAAGGGAAGAATAGATTATGTGTACTTACATTTTATCCATAACTTTTTTACTCTTTACTCTTTTTGTTACGCCACACCACCCATATCGGGTGGCAATGACATCTTAACCAGAATTTAATAAAATCTAATTGTAAACATATTTTAACACTTTACCCACTTTTTTTGTGTATTATCATATTTATCTTGTTATTCTTATGAAAAAATTATGAAATAATAATATCTAAATAGGACTTTTAATCTTTTCTGGGAGGATGAAATTATAGGAACTACTAAAATATAGAAAAAATTTTAAAATGTTTAACAAATATCATTCTAAATTTTAATATTCAAGATTTTCAAAATTTTTGCATTCTAAATTATGGTTAATTTAGTACAAGTGATTCAATTGTTACTCTCCATATAACTAAGTAAAATTTCCTAAGTTGTAAGGGTAGAAAAGTTATTTGACCATCATTTGAGTCACGGATTGGATCCCAAAATGGCTAACAGGGAGGTAAGTAATAGTTTCAAAATTTTATAAAATGAAGGTGAAATTATTAGAAATCTCAGGGGAGATATCTAAAATTATCCATTTTGTTTTTCTTAGTTATTTTTATATTTTGCCATTTTCCTTTTCTTTTTTGTTTTTACTAGCTTTGTGCCTATAAATTTGCCTAGCCGGAATAGCAATAAGTAAACTTTCATCACACCAATTGTTCATGAGCGCCTAAGGTTATAAGCCTTTAATTGAATCTTGTTCTTGAAAAAAGATTGAGTATATCTGTGACAGCCCCACTTTCCCCTAAGGCGAACTAAAGGGGTTAGCGGACTGCCTGCCCAGCTCTCGCCAGGACTACGGTACAGTTTACGTCGATCTATAACGTTCCGGAACATCCCATTGCACGTAAACAAGTCAAAAGAGTCAAAATAAAAAAAACGAAAAAATTTGCCGAAGATGAATAGTGCAGGCCACGTCAGAATCCGGCATTCCGGCCGGATTCAGTCCAGTGACTTTTCGTTCAAAATTTTCCTTTTGCCGTTTGAAATCCAAATCGATTCAAAGTTCAGCCAAACATCAACCAAGCATATATACATTGAAATCCAACATTCCAAGCCAAATCGGCATACCAAAATATCCAACTAATCCATACATGTACAATAACCAATTACAAACCAAACATTGGAGGAAACAAAACACTTAGGGTTTCACCCTCAAGGAGCTATTCAAAATACATGTACATGAGCTCAACTTGTCATTCAACTATTACAATCTTTTCCAAAAGTGTTCATTTTCCTGTAAGGAAAACAAATGGAACGGTGTGAGCTAAAGCTCAGTGAGCAACTATCACAATAGCAGTTAAGATCACATAAGCATAACCATTCAAGTCAAGTATACAATTTCGAAGTAAAGCAATTCAGTGAAAGGATACGGTCGGCTCTCAAGAGCCCATTTCCACGCTTACATTCTTGATCCACACTCATTGACCCTCCGTCAATGTTAAAAGTACCAAACCGTAGACCTCACTTCACTTCCATTCCTTCCACCCAACATACCCCAACCGGGCCCGCACTCCATTCAGTCATTTTGGTAATACTCGAGTATACCGGAACCAAAGGTCTCATTACCACAAGGTTCCTCAGTACAGTCCCCGTGGCATGACAATTTTCACGACCAAGCCCTCGCCGGCTCGATCCAATTGACTACCAAACGGGGTTGAGCTCAGTAATACAGTGAAGCCATTGGACATTCGCCCAAATGACACCAAATCAGTTTCCAAGAATGGAATTCAGTATCCAGTATATCAAGTTCAGTAATGCAGTAAAACGGTAGCCAATCAGTGATACTGTCAAAAGGGGTGAGGGCGGTCAAGTACACCCTCACCTTAATCAATTCCAATATCCAAGTAAGCCTTCAAGGCATCACATATACATTTAGCAAAGCCACATAGTAACAATTAAGTGAGTAGTATACTCACCAAGTGAGAAAATGATGTTTCATGCACCGTCGTTAAACGAACGTCGTGCACCACCGTTTCCTCCTAGAACAAGTGAACAATTACCATAAGACTCGATAATGAGTCACAAAGCCAAGCCAATTATAACCCAATAGGGTTTCATATGCATAAACAAGCATAATAGCAAACCAGAAAATCAAGCATTGGAACTCATTCGTCCCAACGACAAAAATAGTTTTTGGCCTCCAAAAGCGGTAATGGCACAAAATACGCTACGCTTATCGGATGAGGGCGAAAGACCCACCATCTCGAAGCTATGAAACAGGGCTACAACAATGTAGAAGGCCTCTCAGTCCAAATCCTAGCACAACTAGGTCAAAAATGCAGAAAACCCAGCCAGAACCGCAATTGCAGGTTCCAAAATCACAGAAAACTGTAATACGTCTATCTCAGCCTACACAGATCCAAATGCATTGATTCCAAAGGCAAATGAAAGCTAAGACATCAAGCTACCATTCATCAGAAGACACCAACTGCAAATTCCAAACCAAATCCAGTCAAAACAGGCAATTACTATCCCAGTTCGGACATTCTGTTCACCAAAAACAGCAACAGTAAAAACGGCATAACTCTCTCTATACTAGTCCAAATGCCCTGAAATTTTGCAGGACATCAAACTCATCAATACCTACAACTTTCATGTTTTGAGTAAAGTCCAATTCGGCCTCTAGCTATGACCTAAAATTTCGGACAGAATAGGGGTTCATGAACCCTAACTTTTCACATTTCATTCCAAATCCAAAATTGATTGCATTTCACAACAATTCACACCTACTAGAGCCAAAGCCCCTTATTACCAACCATCATACTAGTCCACAACATCCAAAATCATATGAAACCAGAAAATTCCTCATAAAATTAAAAACTTCAACAAATCAAGCCAAACCAAGAAATAAATCATATAATCCATCACTTTAGCCACTTCTAAGCCAAACATAAACATCATTAGGTGTAGTAGAGGTTCAACCATCACTTACCAAGTAATCAAGAGAGATAGGGAGTGTGGACACCTTAGCTCTCCAAAAAAAACTTCACTAAGCACTCAAGAGCACCAAAGGAAGGAATTTTATGGAGTAGATTCTAGTTTAAGCACTTGAGTTGGGTGATTTGAGCTTGTTGGAAGCTTAAACTTGGAAGAGTTTTTCTTTCTTCTTGGATGAGAGGTTCGGCCATCAAGGAGCAAGAAATGGTAAGTTTTGTTCAATTTTTAAGATATTTAAACAAGTGGTCAAAAGGTCAAAAAATAGAATAGTAAACCATAAAGTCCACCCAAAGGGAACATGACACATGGCACCTCATTAAATGCATTCTTGTCATTCTTTTCTCTCTCACATCAATCACTTCACACATACTACTTATCTCTTAACACCCGATAAATTTTCCACAGTATCCGAAACTTAACCGTATTGGCCGAATTTTCCCGAACTTTTCGCACTAGTGGGTCCCACGTCCAATATATATTCTTAATTTTCTAAAAACTCTCCAATACTAGAAAATTCATATAAAAACTATAACTGCTCATAAAATCTACCAAGAAAATATTCCTAGGCCAGAAAATGCAGAAAACATGAAATTTAAGGGGGAAAAACCCTAGGAAACTATTAGGGCAATACGGGTTCTCACAATATCCTTCTTGATTACGTTTTTGCGTCATATTGAATTGAGAATGAAAAACAATATTAAAGAAAATATACTGAATATCTATCTAAAAAAAATGATATATACAAATCAATCAAAATGTTCAAATTTGTCAAAAAATTTAAAATGCTCAATCTAAAATGAACTATGTAATTACAAATCTTATTGTTTGGTAACAATAAGGTCTATTTTGTCAAAATTAGTAAAATGTGTCAAATCGTGCGGTACTATCAGAAGTAGGACAAGGTGCTCGACCCTCGAGGAGGTGTCATTGATTCTGGCCGTCGATGCTCCTTATGGGCCAAAACTTTATGGAAATTGCGATGATGTGCTCCACTGAGGAACCAACTTTCCAAAGCGATGTACGACGGCATCGAACATGAGAGTTTAGCCGAAGTAGAGGTAGGTTTTGCTTGTAGTCATGTTAACAGAGATTAATCATATCTTGGCATCAAAGAAAAGGTTAAAAGAATTTTAAAAAAAGTCATTAAAAAAAAAATACCAAAGAATAGTCGAACGACTCCCAACAATTCCTACGCCCAATCCGATAGTCCAAAGAGCAGTATGGCCCCATTTGGTAAATAATTTTTTTTAATGTTTATTTAAAATTTTACTGTAACTTATTATAGAAATTATAAAATTTTTTGAAGTGTGTAAAATTTTGCATATTTTGAAGTTTATAGTTTAAAATTTTCAAGAAGTTTTTTAAGTTTACTATAATTAAAATTATAACAAAAAACTTGTAATAAATAAACTTGATCAAAAATTTAATTGCAAACAGAGCCTTGTCTTGTTACTTGTCTTGAAAATACCTTTTGAGACGCTACTATGTTTTTGTACAACTTGTATGCAAATTTTTTGTTTTTGTATCAAACTTTGGGTTGTTTGGCAAATAAGTTTTGATCAAGTTTATCTTCTATAAGTTTTTTAATAACTTTAACTATGATAACATTAAAAAATTTCTCAAATTTTTTAAATTATATATTTTAAAATATTTAAAAATTTATCTACTTTAAAAATATTTTTTATAATTTTTACAATAAATTACCGTAAAATTTTAAACAAACACCTACAAAACTTATTTGCGTGGGACCTTTATTCCCCACAAGTCGTTAAACGCGTTTAGCTGGCAGAACAGGAGTCAAGAAAGTTGCCATTGGATAGCTGTGGCTCTAAAAGCGTCCAAAAGTCTGCTGACTTTGACAAAAAAAAAAAGATAGCTGTGGCTCTAAGCAATTACTAACTGTTTACTCATAAACTTGTCAACCATTTTCTCCAACCAAGTCTTCCACCACTTTCTTCCTCTCAGTTTGTTTAGGCTCACAAGGAAGCAAAATGGCTGAGCTAGCTGTGCTTAGTGCCTCGGTGAAGGCCATTGTACAGGGTCCGCTGGATAAGGTGATTTCTCTAGTCAACAAAGAATTTAGCCTGATCTACGGCTTCAAGAAAGATCTTGAAAAGCTGAGAGGATCACTGGCCATGATACAGGCCTTCTTGCGAGATGCTGAGAGACGACCAGTTGGAGAAGAAGCTGTAAAACTGTGGCTGGAGAAACTTGAAGGCGTGGCTTATGATGCTGATGATGTATTGGACGAGATGAACTACAAAATTCTCCAACACAAAGTAAAGCTACAGAAGAAAGTGGAAAGCAAGGTAAAAATCTTCAGCTTGCTCTCAAATCCCTTTTCTTTTAATAGGGAATTGGCTGGTAAACTCAAGGACATAAATACAAACTTGAAAAGGATTAACCATGAAGCAAATGAGTTTGGCCTTCAGTTCCATATCAGAGATGTGGATGCAGATTCTGCTGCTGGTGCTGTGTTTTCTCATTCCATAGCAAGAAGCAGAGAGACTGACTCAGTAAGTGTTGATCCTAATGTTCTGGGAAGAGATAATGATAAATCTGATTTAGTGAAAACATTGATGAGATCAAGGGATGAAGTTGTTTCAGTTATTCCCATTGTGGGAATGGGTGGATTGGGGAAAACAACTTTAGCTCGGTTAATATACAATGATGAAAGAATTAAGAACTACTTTGATGCAAGAATTTGGGTCTGTGTATCTGAAAGTTTTGATGTAACTAAGCTCTTTGCCATGATGCTCGAATCATTGACACAATCGCATGTTCAAGTACAGGGCAGGGAAGCCATAGTGAAAAACCTTCAAAAGGCTATCGGGGTTGGAAGATATCTTCTCATACTAGATGATGTTTGGAATGATAAAGCTGATAAATGGGATGATTTTAAAAGATCAATGGAAGGGATCAACAGAACCAAGGGAAATAGCATTGTTGTGACTACACGTAGTGAACAAGTAGCTTCAATAGTTGCGACGCTACCCCAACATTTCCTTAGAAAGTTATCTGAAGAAGATTGTCTGTCAATATTGAAAGCTAGAGCATTCCCAGGAGGAGAAGTTCCAAGGGAATTGGACGCCATAGGGAAGAAAATTGCAGCCAAGTGTCAAGGTTTACCATTAGCAGCAAATCTGGTAGGAGGAATTTTACGCAACAAGGGAAAATCTGAGTGGATGTCAATTTTGAATGAAGGCCTTTCTCATGTAAATGGAGATGAAAATGGTTGTAGTATCTTGCAAATACTGAAGTTGAGCTTTGATCATTTGCCAACTCCTGCTGCTAAAAAATGCTTTGCTTATTGCTCAATCTTTAACAAGGATTTCAATTTGAAAAAGGAACAAGTAGTTCAACTATGGATCGCAGAAGGATTTTTGTATTCAAATCAAGGAAGTGATGTGATGGAGAAAACGGGGATCAAGATTTTCCACATTTTACTGCAAAACTGCTTACTTCAAGATCTGGAGAAGGATATATATGACAATGTCATTAGCTGTAAGATGCATGATCTTGTGCATGATCTTGCAAGTTCTGTTTCAAGTGCCAAAGGCAGATGCCTCGCATTGAGCACATCGAGTGAAGCACCCCAAAATCTGTTGGAAGAAAAGGAAAGAAATCTGCGCACGTTGTTCTTGAAATATGATGTTTCTCACCAAGTGTTGCTAGAGTTTGTACTCTTGCGTGTACTAAATTTGGAGGGTGCAGATCTTGTTAAGGAACTGCCCTCCAAAATAAAAAAGCTAACACATTTAAGATATCTTGATGTGTCAGGAACCCAAATTAAGGTTCTGCCAGACTCCATTTGCAAGTTGTATAATTTGCAAACTCTGAGGGCCCTCCATCTACATGGTTCTATCAATAAGTTTCCACCAAATTTTCATAACTTGATCAGCTTGAGACACCTTCATTTTTATTTTCCTGAAAGATTTCAAATGCCACTTGGGATAGGAAAACTGACTGATCTTCAAACATTGTCATGCTTTAATGTGGATCAAGAGAAGGGCCGTAGAATTAGCGAGCTGGGGTGCTTGAATAACCTTGGAGGTGAATTGAAGATACACAATCTAGAACTGGTGAATGATGCAGATGAAGCTAGAAGTGCAAATTTATCTGGAAAGCCAAATATCTACAAATTGGAATATTATTGGGGAAGAAATAGACAAGGCGACAACCAGGACGAAAATGTACTGGAAGGGCTCCAACCTCACCCAAATATAAAAAGCTTGAAGATAGAAAACTTCATGGGCAATGAGTTTCCTTTGTGGGCTATCAAAATGGCCGTCAAAACCGAGAATGCATGGGTATTACTTGAGAATTTGGTGGAGATAGAACTAGTCCAGTGTGAAAGATGTAAAGAAATTCCAATGCTCGGACAATTACCCTTTCTCCAGCATCTTAAATTGGAAGGGCTTACTAATGTAAGAATTATAGCTCCTTCAACTTATGGTACTGATTACTACATTGGATCGAGCAGTAGTCTATGTAGAACCATATGGTTTCCAGCACTTGAAAATCTCGTTCTAGAAAGAATGCCGAGCTTGATAGAATGGATTGATTTTCCAGATATGCCATCTTCAAGTACAACAGCATCAAGTGAAGTGAGTTTTTTTCCTCGCCTTCAAAACTTAACCATCATAAGTTGCCCCCATTTAAGGACTGTTCCAAGAAAATTTCGTTGTCTTACTTGTTTAAACCTAATGGGCGACAACAGCATCTTGCCATTGTCAAGCATATGTAGTAATGTTTTCACTCTTGAAACACTACGCATATTTGGCCTGTCAGATCTAACATGTCTTCCAGATTGTTTATTTCAAAACAATCCAAAGCTTGCACATTTTAACATGGGCTATTGCTCAAACCTGACAAATTTTGCTTCAAACTTGTCAGGCTGTGCCAATTCTCTTAAGATATTGGAGATTGAGCACTGCGATAGTCTGATTGAGTTACCACAAGGATTACACACCCTCCAGTCACTTGAGAGACTAACAATAAATGGATGTGACAGTCTCAGATCCATACCAGCGCCAGAGTGCCAGGGCCAGGGCCTTACTTCTCTTCGTAACTGGGAGTTTGCTGGTTGTCATGGATTGACCAACATCCCTGGAGAAGCATTGCAGTTTTGCACCTCTCTGGAGTCTCTGTCGGTAAAGTACTGCAATGAGCTTGTAGTTTTTCCAGTGGATTTGCAGAAGTTGCCTTCTCTCATTTGTCTACGGATACATCACTGCCCCAAATTGGATATGATGCCCACAGGTTTGTGTGGTCTTACTAGGCTAAGGCAATTGTACATAGGTTGTTTCTTGGAGTTTGGCTCATTCCAAATCATTTTCAATGGCATTGAGCAAAATCTTTCAACCCTTATAGAATTAGAATTGTTTGGGTGTTCTGACTGGGATTCTCTGCCTGATCAACTTCAGTACCTCACATCTTTGAAACAACTGGACATAAATGATTTTGGAGTTGAAACTTTGCCCAATTGGCTGGGGAATCTTTTCTCTCTCGAAAATCTGAGGCTGACCAATTGCAAGAAACTGCATCAGCTGCCTTCCTTAGAGGCCATGAGGCATATGATCAAACTGAAGGAATTTACAATTACAAATTGTCCTCTGTTAAAAGCTAGTTGCATCCAGAGAAGCAACCCCAACAGCCAGTGGTCCAGGATTTCTCATATTCCCACAATCGAAATAGATTTATTTCTTATTCAGTCCTTATCATAAGCTATGGAGAATACTTTGAAACTTTCTTGAACGTTCAGGTGAATCTTCAACTCTCCGAAATTCATGTTTCACTTCTAAAATTTGGCTATCTAATTTGTTACTTGGCATGTAGGATTCCTTGCATCTTTGGTTCTAAATCGATCAGGGATCGGTGTATCAGGGGATCAGGGATTTCCTGTGCTGAAAAATAATCTATTTCAGGTGATTTCTTGGACATGGCTTTTTGGCCTGCAAATTTGTTTCGGAGTAGGAACCACCAATTTATCGCCTCTTGCTTTTGCTGATTCTTATTTTCCATCTATTGCGTGTCCTGTTTACCAAGGTAACTTGTGACCAAAATCTGTAAAGATAACCTGACCAGTTCCTATTTAGCTCAGGTGAAACTCATAAATCTGGATCAAAAATGACTGCAAAACATAAAGCCAATATCTGTTCTTGATAGTTCAAACCATAGCAATATGAATCCTAAAAAGATACACAGCAACTAAGAAATTCTGAAGACAAACGCCACAACCAAAGAAAAAATCATGAAATTACAGTTGAAGTTGGGCAGAATCTATCATTTGATTAATTATATCCCCAGTTCATTGAGAAATTTCAATTTCTTTTTGCTCAGATATGTGATTATTGTCAATTTACTTTGCTGCAGTTGAAAGGATGATTATGTTCACCTTCCAGGGCCCTGATTCATCATGTCACAGGCTATTGGCACACCACCTATTTTGCTCATATCTCCTGCACAAAATTCAGGATTTGCTCCTTGGTAGAACAGCTTTTATCATTCTGTGATTTTCAGTCACTTTGTCATAAAGGGATTCTAAAGCTGAATGCTTCTCTTTCCTATTGCTATATGGTTCTTGCATCACTTAATCTCATATGTTCCTTATGGACTTGACTCAAGCTATATATGCTTGTAAAGAAATCATTTCCTGAACCTAATTAATTAAAGCTGATTTCCCACTAAATTGGAGGCAAACTCTGAGGTAAATTGATGCAATTATTTGTATGGTATCCGATGTCTGATTTTTTAAGATTAAGATTTGTTTTCTTGGTTCAAAGGTAACCTGAAGAGGTTCTTTGGCTAATAAATCTCCATAAAAATTTTCTGGACTAAAATTCCACCTGTCTAGCATAATCCTGGTTGCAAGTAGATTCAAATCACAAAAAAAAAAAAGAAAACAAAATAGTCTAGTAGTTAATATTGAAATTCCAAAATTCAAAAAATTTGAATCAAAGTGTTACTATATGACGCCAGGGTTTAGTGGTTAAGATTAAGATCACAAAAATGCAATTAAGCCAATTAAGCATATGACCACAAAATGCAAAACCAAAGATCACGTCTTTGAAGGGCTTCAAGGAGGTAGTTTATAAAACATTAGTTTTTTTTTTATAATCACAATTTGAAAAAAAGAAAAGGGAATTGTGTTCATTGTTGTTTAGTCAAAATAATTGAAGAGCAAAGCACCCCAAAAAAAAAAAAAAAATTGAAGAGCAAAGCTGTGATTTTAACCCCTATAGTTAATTACGCAACTTAATCAGCATTAGCTTTTCTTTTCCATAGTAAAACCTTTATCCAACTTGACCAAAACGTTCAAGTTTGATCTTCAACATGTACAGGTAATGTGAAGGAAGGAGTAAACCATTAACACCTAGCCAGCTTATGCTCTTCCCCTGTTTCATGTCCCTAGACTTTTGTTCTCTGCTTTCAACAAACATTGCCACTGTGTCAAAGAAACCTTCCAGATTCTTAGCACAAGGATATGTAAGGGATTCTTGTTTGGATTGCAAAGTGCCAACAACCGCCTCCTGAACATGCTCAAAATTTGGCCATCCCTTGATTCAAATAATAGTTTGTAGCGTAATGAAGGATCATTACACAATTCAATAACCAAAATCAGTTTTGTCCAAGATACCTTTACAGTGCCAGGGGCGGAGCTAAGACCCCCACAGTAAGTGGGGGTCAAATTCTAGTACAGTAAAATTTATTTTTTAAAAAATAAAAACTACTAACATTATTATATACAGCAAGTTATAATTGTACCCTACGAGTACTCTTTTTTTTTTCTAATGTTGTAAAATCAATTCATTATCAATTTTGTTAAATACATCTTTTTCAATGTAAGTAACTGAATCCCTTGAATTTTTAAAAATAATCGCGAATCACCAGCAACTTGATCTTCTACAGTTTTTTTTTATATAAAATTTATCTTTACCCTATTATAAATAAAAATCATAATAACTTAATTTCGCATTACAAATAAAAAGTTTACCATCCACTTGAATAATTCTTGTTTTTGAAGACTTTGAAGTTAAAAAAAATAATCTAAAGAATTGGTTTTCTCACTCCACTTAAGAAAGTTGACCCCTTGTGTTTGGAAATTTTAGATGAATTTAGTCTTGAGCTAACTTCCATAGATAATTTGAAATAAATTCAAAATTATTGTAATGGTAATAATTATGAATTTTCAACTTTTTGGGGTCAATGTATATAGGAAAGAGAATTTGACAAAATATAGTGGAGGTCAAATAAGATGCAAATTTAAAATTTCCTAAACCTAAGAACTAATTTTTCAAAGTTAAGTGGGGTCAATTGACACCACTTGCTTGTATGTGGCTCCGCCACTGCATAACAACTCTCGTCATATTTTGACTGTTCTACATCTTCGTACATCTCTCATTCATCAAATCAAGACTAACAATTTTCCCCACTTTAAGAAATTTTTCCCATTTTATTTTTCTAAGGAGCTCCCCATTAACATAATAAATCTCCTGATAATCGCCCTTAAGGATCCTCAATAGTCTTTCAAAAACTCGTATTTCTACTGCAAACATCCAGCCAGTTTTGCCCCATCATAATATGTCATCATGGTGAAGAATTCAGAACACTTTATAATCATCCTTAGATACCAACGGATGTTGGTGCAAGTGAAAGGGACTTGCATCCTTTAATCATGAGGTTTCGAGTTCGAAACCCATGAGAATGGAAAAAATGACGTTGGGAGAGTGATAGGAGCATATAGTACAGGGCGTAGAGATAATTGTCATGCATGTTCCTAGGGTGAACATGAAAAATCAGTCTATGGTGATTGTAGTCGTTGTTGTTGGAAAATTGGATGAATTGTGGGCTCGAGATCGAGATCGAGATCAAGGAAAGTCATGATTTCGAAATGCACCAGTTTGACAGACCTAATTAATTAAAGCTGATTTCCCACTAAATTGGAGGCAAACTCTGAGGTATCCGATGTCTGATTTTTTAAGATTAAGATTTTTTCTTAGTTCAAAGGTAACCTGAAGAACTGAAATTCTTTGACTAATAAATCTCCCCATAAAATAGAAATTATGAAAAACTTGGAGATAAAGTATAGATAATAACTCAGAGAAATTTTCATCATTTTGATAATTTGATTAGAATGCAACTGCAAAACCAAGGATCATAACTCTCAATTACATAACTTTCTACACTTGATATAAATTTCCAACTGCCAATTGTTAAAAAAAAAAAAACAGTTTCTTTCAAAAAGATAATGTAAAAAACTACCAGCTCAACAACTTGCTCTAAGAAATACTCTGTTAAAATTCCATCAAACAGCATATCATAACAACTCTATTTCATCTGGCATTGATAGAAATTGACAAGCATTTCCATTTTTTTTAAAAAAAAACCAAAACAATGTCCGTAAGGATTACTAACTTCAGCCAAGAAAAGAAAAGCTTTAGTATTACATGCAAAAGAAAATGAAAGATTGAAAATTTTAAAAAAAATTTTAAAAAAAAAGGAGAGGTTACTGAGATGATTGTGCCTAACAATTTGTTTAGAAACCTCAATAATCAGTTCAAAGTTTGTGGAAACCTTGAAATTAAGCTAAGCTTCATTGTTTGCATGTGATAGGATGAGTGGCATACGAATTCTTAATCTGATATAAAAATTTATAGACCTCTGGGAAATCTTAATGGTTGCAAACAGGGTAATAATAGTTTAAACGGATATCGAATTTCTTAAAGCAATACTGTATTTTCCCATTAGTGCAGAATTTTTTTTTCTTTTTTTAAGGAAACTGCTATAGGTAGTTGATTTTAAATGTTAGAGTTACAAAAAAATTAACCACCAAATGCTCTAAAATAATATATAAAACTTAAGCTATTTTGGGATTAATTAAGACGCGAGAAGGGAGAATGTGGGATCTCAATTCAAGATATCTACTTTTTCTGGTAGTTTTATGGAGCATTAAGATATGGTCTTCTAATAAGATGTTGGAATGCTATTAATTCTCCAAGCTCAGTACACCCTATAGAAGGCGGCATGGGAAATAGCCAGTTTCACATCTATTATTAACATTAGATAACGAACAAGCTCTATATTCAAAATCTCATTAACTTTCAACTGCAGTAAAATATCTAACTGTTTTCTTTGCTGGACAAATACTAAAAGCAAATTAAGTGTGTCACCACAAATGCCAAAACCCAAAAATCATATCTTCTAAGGGTTTCTAGGAAGTTAATTTATAGAACACCAGGTTTGATAAGAACAAAAAATTGCATTTACTGTTGTTGTTTCGTTACAATAATTGAAGAGCAAAGAACGAAAACCTTCCATGTGATTTTAACCCCTAGAGTTAACTACACAACTTAATCAGCACCATTTCTCCTTTTCTGTAGTAAAACATTTGTCCAACTTGACCGACCACAGATTCAAGTTTGATCTTCAACCTGTACAGGTATTGCGAAGCAGTAAACATTTACACCTAGCCAGCCTGTACTCTTCTTCTGTTCCATGCCTTAAGACTTTTATACTCTGCCATGGTTGTTGAGCAAAACTAAGCTTTCAGCATACATAAACACTTTCTCAGAGTAATCTTCCAGATTGTTAATGCAAGAATGTGCAAGGGATTCATGTTTCGGATTGTAAAGTGCCAACCACCTCTTAAACATGCTCAAAATTAGGCCGTCCCTTGACTCAAATAATGGTTTATTATAGTGTGATGCAGGATCATAAGACAATCCAGTAACCAAAGATGTATAGTGACAACACACAGAACGACATCCTCCTATAACCAATAACGTCATCTTCTGGCTGTTCCACCTCTTCATAGATCTCATTCGTCAAATCAAGGCTAGCAATCTTCCCCATTATAAGAAATATTTCCCATTTTTTCCTACGGAGCTTCCAACTAACATAATAAATCTCCCCAGTAGGACGACAGTCCCAAGAATCCTCAATAATCTTCCAAGAACTTGTGTTTCTGCTATAAACATCAAGCTAAGCGCGCCCCTTCGTGATGTTACCATGAGAGCAACTCCAATGACGTGTCATGGATACAGATCCATTATATACATCATTAGAATGATGCCCGTAAAAGCCGCTGACAAAGAGGAGATAGTGGGCCTTTTTTTTGCAACGGATAAATTTGGTTAAACATAGACAACGGACAAAATTTCATGGTGCAAGTTAACATTCAATTTTTTTTCCAACCGTCATTGTTTTGTTCTCTTTATATAAACACACAGGACACCCATTTTTTTTCATATTTCAATATCCTACTCTATTATTTCTCTTACTCTTTCACTCATTTTCCTCAACCTCTTTGCACAATTTTCTAAAATTTCAATATTTTGTGATTATGGATGAGAATTTTAGTAGTTTTAGAAATATGTTAAATGCTCCAAATATAGAAAATTCATCCTCCTCACAAAATCAAAACCACCAAAATTTCCCAAATTTCTCATTTTCTGGTATTCCTACAAATGTGCAAAATTAATAATATTATTTTTTAGAAAATAAAAAATCCAAAAGGTAAAAAATTTAATGAAAGTTTAATAATTTATTTTTAAAAATAATGAAATTATTTTTTAAAAAATTACTTTATTTATTTACGGGATATGAGTTATGCATTATTAAAATAAATATTTTATTTGATTGTGGATCATACTATTATAGCGTGTAGAGTGTAATTTATTGTGAATAAGAATATAATGAAAGATGAGATAGTGGAATGTTGATATAGCACCATGAATGCTTTAATGACGAATTTGGAACACTTTATAATCATCCTGTAGTGACTCTAGAAATAAATTATTCAGACATAGTTGAAAAAATGTGGAAATCAAGGCTGTAAATTGAAATTAAAAAAAGTTTATGAGACCATTTGTAGTTATTTAAAACACTAAAGGGCCAACAGAAAAGTAACAGAAAAGTTTTGGGCATGATTGTAAGTTTATCGCTTTTATGCCCCTTTTTAAGAGCAACTTCCAGTTTCCACTTTACTTTCTTTCTCGTCGCCGTCCTCAAGTTCCGATGCAGGCCACGTTCGTTTCTTTCTTTCTATATTTTTTTTCTTTATTCTACTGAAAAAACAGAAGAAAAGTTTCTTTATTTTTTCTTTTTGGGTAAGTAGAAGAAAAGTCTCTTTACTCTCTTCTTTCTTTCTTTTCCTCCTCATTTGTTGTTTCGTTGAAACTTGAAACCTCTTCTCTCTCAAAGTAGTAATCTAAATTGGAAAAGTATAATATATTCTGTACTACCCGTCTAGTCTGCCTATCGCACAATTGAGGAAGAAGAAGAAGAAGCCTTTTTAAAGGTTCCAGACTGCAGGCTCCCAGGTACTTTAATGTTCTTCCAACAAGTTTAAATTTCTTCTTGGTTCATTGATCGCTCAGACATTTACTAGTTGTGAATATAACTATAAAACAAAAACCCAAAAAATAAAAGTTGACTTTTTTTTTTCTTTTGAAATGGTTGAGTTTTGTATGCAACTGTTCTTTGACCTTGAAGTAAATCTTGATTTGCAATGTGGGATTTTATTAATCAGCAGTATAGTGGATTGTCTTGGTTTGTTTTAAGCATATAAAAGTTTTATCTTTGAAGATTTGATTGCTAATGTTTTCTTGGCTAATTGGAAGAGTTGTTGCTGTAGTTAAGAATGCCAGCTCAAAGAAAACCCGAGGAAATTGTCCCAATACTACTGGCTCGTCTGGAAAAAGCTAAGCAATTTGTAGTAGGGCGTATCAGCGAGAACAGTGAGGCAGACCCTCTAGTTTTGAAATTCAAAGAAATCGAGATTGAACTTGGCAGCATGAAACGTTTGTTCCCCAGGATAAAACATTGGGAAGGGAAACTCATGGAACAGTTCAGAACTTTGGAGCAAGACATTGATGATGATGTTTTCTTTAAACAGCATGACGAGGCTAATGAGATTCTTAATAGATTGGAGCGCATCAGTGAGAGTGTTGTGTCTGTAAAACAGCTATTTTCTGCAGTGGAAAGGCAGCTGATGGATAGAACACGTACGATGCCTTCTTCTGGGATGCAATTCCCTTCTGAGGAGGCTGTTAGGAAGGATCAGACAATGTCTGAAGAGTGGTCGAGACTTGGTGTGGAGGAAAAAATTTATGCCAGCGAAGCAATATCAAATTTTCAGAAAAGTTTTGACTGTCGGGAGAGCTATCAATTGAAAGCATGCTCCTTGTGCCTTTCAATTTTCCCTGAGAATAGCATCATAAAGAAGAGACCCCTTATTTACTGGTGGATAGGAGAGGGTATGGTCACTAAAACCTCAGAAAAGACTGCAGAGGAGGTTGGAGAAGATGTCTTTAATGAATTGATAAATGAAAGCTTCATAATCCCCAAATTTGAGAACCTTTCTCCCAATATAAACACTTTTATTGTGCACCCTTGGATTCGAAGAATGCTGATCTCGGTTGCAAAAAGACTTAGCTTTTTTGAATTTACTTTTGAATTTACTCCCTCAGGGACGCCTAGCAATGGTCATCGTCGCGCATTCTTATTGGCGGGTGGTAGTGATTCATACAGCACAATGACCGAGGATACTATTATGGTTTTCAATGTAAATGATCAATATCTTGGATTTAAACCTGACTGGCTCTCGAAGTTGAATAGGGTTGAGGTTCTTCAGTTGGGCCGGTGGCAAAACTCTGTCAAACATCATATTGAAGTGGAAAATAAAGATTTGACAGTTGAGTCGAAGAAGAAAAAGAAGGTGGAATATTAAGTCTCTTTGAATGGTTTGGGAAGTCAGACATCCCTAAGATATCTAAGCCTCAGAGCCGTTTCTAGATTGACTAACCTACCTCATTCGGTGCTTAACCTAATAAGCCTTGAGATCCTTGATTTACGCGATGTCACAATCTAGAGAAACTGCCTTCTGATATATCAGCACTGAGGAACCTTACTCATTTGGATTTATCAGAATGTTACCTGCTCGAAAGCATGCCAAAGGGTATTGAAGAGGTCTCTGCTCTTCAAGTACTCAAGGGCTTTGTGATAGGAATCGTCAGAAGAAATCCATGCAGGGTAAGTGACCTTGCTCAGTTGAAAGGTGTCAACAGGTATCTTGGGAGGAAAACATCTAGTCACTATATTATGAGTGACCAACTAGTATTTATAGGAGTACAACCCTAACAAACTATTTACAAAAATACCCTTACTAATTTATTATCTACAAGAATACTTATATTCTCTTAACACTCCCCCTCAAGTTGGAGCATATATATCATAAGCACCCAACTTGTTATAAAGGTATTTCACCCTAGAGCCCCCTAAGCTCTTGGTAAACACATCAGCCAATTGATCTACAGACGGTACATGAGATGTCTTGATGATCCCGTCAAGCAATTTCTCTCGAATGAAATGACAATCAACTTCAATATGTTTTGTCCTTTCATGAAACACTGGATTAGACGCAATATGAACAGCCGCCTGATTATCACACACTAAATTCATAGGCTGTTTATGCTCAAACCCAAGTTCAAGTAACATGCTCTTCAACCAAACAAACTCACACACAGTGTGAGCCATAGCGCGGTATTCAGATTCTGCACTTGATCTGGATACAACTGTTTGCTTCTTACTCTTCCACGACACTAAATTACCACCAACAAACACACAATATCCTGTAGTCGATCTTCGATCTGAGGCAGAACCAACCCAATCTGCATCACTATATCCTTCAATATCAGTGTGTCCATGATTTTGATATAGCAACCCTTTTCCAGGAGCACTCTTAAGATACCTGAGAATCCGTATAACAGCATCCCAATGACTAGTACGAGGGGTATCAAGAAATTGACTCACAACACTCACTGCAAACGAAATGTCAGGTCTCGTTACAGTGAGATAATTTAATTTACCCACAAGTCTTCGATATTGCTTAGGATCATCAAGTAATGCACCTTGATCTCCTGCTAATTTCACATTGGGATCCATAGGAGTATCACAGGTCGGCAACCTAACATCCCAACTTCACTCAACATATCGAGTACATATTTCCTTTGACATAAATAAATCCCATATTTAGACCGAGCTACCTCAATACCCAGAAAATACTGTAGATGACCTAAATCCTTTGTCTGAAAGTTTGCCTGCAGATTGGATTTAAGTTTCTGGATCCCCACAACATCATCACCTGTAATCACAATGTCATCCACATAAACAACTAATAAAATTTTACCAGCATTAGAATGCCGATAAAATACAGAGTGATCTACTCCACATCTTGTCAGACCGAACTCCATGACAACACTACTAAACCGGCCAAACCAAGCCCTCGGAGACTGTTTCAATCCATATAAGGATTTTTTCAAACGACAAACCAACCGCGGATTCTCCCCCTGAACAACAAATCCAGGAGGTTGTTCCATATATACCTCTTCTTCCAAATCTCCATGCAGAAATGCATTTTTCACATCCAACTGATGCAATGGCCAATTATAAGTTGCTGCCAAAGAGATAAGAAGACGAACAGAGGTAATCTTTGCAACAGGAGAAAATGTTTCTAAGTAGTCTACTCCATACACCTGAGTAAATCCTCTAGCTACCAGACGAGCCTTCAATCTATCAATAGAACCATTAGGCTGCACTTTTATAGTGTACACCCATTTACAACCAACAACAGGCTTACCTGAAGGACGAGGGACAAGATCCCAAGTACCATTTTGTTCCAAAGCAGACATCTCTTCTTGCATAGCTAATCTCCAACCAGGATGATTAAGAGCATAGGTAATAGACTTAGGAATGGAGATAGAATCAAGGGAAGCAACAAAAGAAGAATATGACATAGAGAGACGAGAATAAGAAACAAAATTAGAAATAGGATGGGAAGTACAATGTCTCTTACCTTTGCGTAAAGCAATAGGAAGATCTAACTCAGAGGAGGGCGTCATACCTGGATTTGAAGATTGAGAGTTAATTGGTGAAGTGCGTGGCATATCAGGAACTTTTTCAACCATGGAACGACGAGAGTAAACTTGAAGATGAGGACGAGATAATCGAGTTATGGAATCTGGTGAACTAGATAACTCAGGTAATAAAGGGGAAGGGACTGGTAAAACAGGAGAGGAAAAAGAGGGACACTGGTCTAACTCACAAGACATACTTTGTTTGATAAAATATGGAGTGGATTCAAAAAAAGTAACATCAGCAGAAGTAAAAAATCGATTTAAAACTGGACTGTAACATCTATACCCTTTTTGCGCTCGTGTGTATCCTAAGAAAATACACTTAATAGCACGAGAATCTAATTTATCCACTCCGGGAGCAAGCTGATGAACAAAGCACACACATCCAAAAATACGAGGAGGCAATTTAAACACAGGTTCATGAGGAAAAAGAATGGAGTGAGGTAATTGGCCTTCAAGAATATTGGATGGCATGCGATTAATTAAATAACATGCAGTTAGAACTGCATCACTCCAAAATTGTTTGGGCACATTCATGTGCAACAAAAGTGTCCGAGCAACTTCAATTAAATGTCCAATCTTTCTTTCAGCAACTCCATTCTGTTGTGGAGTGTGAGGACAAGAGGATTGATGAAGGATACCGGACTTAGTCATGAAGGTATTAAAAGGAGTGGAAAAATATTCTTTCGCATTATCACTGCGAAGTATACGTACAGGCACACCAAATTGATTCTTTATTTCTGTAACAAATGCACAAAAAATGGAATATAGTTCTGAACGATCTTTCATTAAATAAAGCCATGTAACTCTTGAAAAATCATCAACAAAGATTACAAAATATTTAAAACCTAACTTTGAAGTGACTCGACTAGGACCCCAAACATCAGAATGAACTAACAAAAAGGGTTCCGAAACCCGTTTATTGACCCTGGGGGCAAAAGGAACACGATGATGCTTTCCTAATTGACAAGACTCACATTCTAATGAAGACAACTGGCTCAAGGTAGGAACCAACTTCTTCAAATTTTGTAGAGACGGATGACCCAAACGACAGTGAATTTCAAGAGGAGAAACAGTAGCAGGGCACGCAATCGGACCATTAGAGTTGAGAAAATAAAGACCATTATGCTCGCGCCCTCCACCAATCGTCCTCTTTGTCTTCAAATCCTGAATAACAACAAAATCAGGAGAAAAAATAACTGAACACTGTAGAAATTTGGTAAGCTTACTAACTGACATTAGATTAAAAGGTAAATTTGGTACGTAAAGAACAGAAGGCAGCGGAAGAGATGGGTTAATTTCTACAGTGCCTAGTCCTTTAACTTTAGTTGTAGATCCATCAGCTAAAGTAACATGAGGGAAGGAAGTAGACTCTTGAAAATTAGAAAAATTTCTAGAGGTACCTGACATATGATCAGTAGCTCCGGAATCAATGATCCATGAGTCAAAATTTTTGGAAGTGGAGAGACAAGCCATAGCATTACCTTTTTGTGCTAAAGAAGCAGAGGGAAGAGATGCCTGATTTGCAGTTTGGTACTGCAGAAATTTGACATAATCTTCCTCGGATATGGTAAAAGTTTTCTGGGACCCTTGTGCTGAAGAACTTGATTCAGCTTGGTCAATGGTAACCGCATTAGCAAACCGAGGTGGTTTTCCATGTAAATCCCAACAAGTATCATGAGTGTGATTCTTCAAACCACAATGAGTGCACTCACGGGTGCCTCGACCTCCACGACCTCCACGACCTCCTCTACTTCTTCCTCCACGAGAGCCACGTCCCAAGTTAAGTTGCTCTATCCGACCATTGTTAGCAACTAACGCAGATTTGTCATTAATTAGAGCACCATCACCCTGTGCGTTGTCCTTAGATGCAGAACGTAAGACCCGAGCATATGCCTCTGCAAAGGATGGTAATTGTTCACCTGCTAAAATTTGAGATTTGATTGGTTCAAATTCTGGTTTGAGACCGGCCAAGAATTTGAGCACAAGCATTTGTTCTCTTTGCCTCTGCATAACTGTAATATCACTTGAGAGAGGCATTACGGCATTTAATTCTTCTGAAACTCGCTTCAGATCAGCAAAGTATTCAGTTACTATCTTGTTATCTTGTTGCAACTGAAAATACTCCAAAGAAATATCATACATCCGTGAAAGATTACTACAGTATAATAACCGGACATAATCCCAAACTTCTTTTGTTGTCTCACAATGAGAACACATGTAAGCAATTCGTGGCTCCATAGAATTCCATATTGCTCCAAGAATTTGGGCATCCTCTTGAATCCAGACTAGTTTCTTGTTGTCCTCCGTAGGAGAGTCATCTGTGAGATATCGTTGCTTTCCTAAGCCTGTCAGATAAATCTTAACGGCTTTTGACCACTGTTGATAATTAGTGTCATTCAACTTTCAATTTGTGATTTGAGGCATCACCATTGGCATAATATTAGTAGACGTCACAATACCTTTTGATAGACTTTCAGCCATAGCGAATAGCACTCCAAACCAAACGAAAGGTCAAAACTCGAGATGAACGGCGCGTGAACAGTGTCGCGTGAACAGTGCTGTGAACAGTGAACAGTACCGATGAACAGTGTCACGGGAACAGTGCCGTGAACAGTACCCGATGAACAGTGCCCCCCGCGTGAACAGTCGCGGTGAACAGAACTTTTGCTAGATGTTTAACCCTAACCCTAGGACTTTTGCTCTGATACCATGTCAACAGGTATCTTGGGAGGAAAATATCTAGTCACTATATTATGAGTGACCAACTAGTATTTATAGGAGTACAACCCTAACAAACTATTTACAAAAATACCCTTACTAATTTATTATCTACAAGAATACTTATATTCTCTTAACAAAAGGTTTAAGGAAATTGAGCATAAGAATAGGGAATGAAGCTTTAGCAGAAGGGGAGTTTTCAAACTTGAAGGACTTCAAGGCTCTTCAAATTCTTGTGATATCTTGGGAAATAGTTTTGTCGCAGTCGAGTACAGAAGCTGCTCTGAGGTCATTCTCAGTCCCACCAAATCTAAAGAAACTTGATCTCAGATGTATCCCTCTAGTGACCTGGCCTGAATGGTTAGAGCCTGGCAGATTGATATCTTTGGAAAAACTTTACATCAGGGGAGGTGAACTCAGCAGCATAGAGCGCCATGATGAAAAAAGTTGGAAAGTTAAAATTTTACGTTTGAAGTATCTGAAGAACTTGAAAATTGACGAGCCAGAATTATGATTAATGTTTCCTGAGATGGAGTACTTGGAGAAAGTCAAATGCAACAAGATTGGTCGAGATGAATATGATCCAGATATCACATGGAACAAAAAGCAGCATGAGCAATTGTAGCAACTACTTGAGTGAGTTTTGCTGCAACTTTTTCGTTTGCTATTCATTTTTAATTGCTCCTGATTTCTCCTATATTCCTCCAGCTCCTGTTTTTAAAGCAAGTTATATTACTCAATTTCTAAGAATCAATTGCTTATGCTGTTTCCGACCATGATTGAGTGTTCTAGAGTCGGTAATATGTGAATCTCTTTTTATTTTTCCCTACAATCCTTGTAAGATTTTTTGTTGTTAATATTTTGAGCATATTATTGCCAGAAGAAGTTTCTGAAATTTTTTTGTTAGTGTTGAAATCTCATGTTTCAGTCTGAATTAAAATTTCTCTTCCTACTCCACCTGTCAAAGCAAGGTACTTCTCCTTTCAATTTTTAGGTAGTGTACCCTCAGAACTGATGAATAGTGGAAAGACATAATCTGCGGAAAAGAATATGTGATATAACTGTTATTCTTATTTTGGCAAGACAAAGTCCAACCTGCATGGTCAAGGGAGTTGGAGAAAGAGAAAGTGCTGCTTGGATAATCCTTCTGCTTTAAATTTGTAAGGTGAAAAAATTGGTATTCATGTGGTTTCAGCTTGCCTCTTTGATCCAAGCAATTTTGAGTGCAGATTGAAAATAAAAATGGGATAAAGTAGAATTAAACAAAAAACTAATGAATCATTTGATGCTCATATTTGCAATTGAAATATTTTTCTCTGTTGTGGGAAAATTGGATTATTGTCTTTTGTATTTAAGGATAATTTCTCTTGTCCATGAGATCAACATGGTGCTGCCTGCTGTTCATGTCTTTACATTTTATAGATGCAATATCCTGAGATAAGCTATCCAATGGTGCCTTCCAGCTCATCATAGGCATTTCCTTCCTTTTCTTATACTCATCTGCCCCAAACTACAGTCTCGAGTATCATTTACAACATATTCTAGACCTTTTCCAGTTTCCATTCCTTTCATGAGAGCCAATAGATTAGCATGCTCTTCTCTTGATTAGATTAACTAGGAAACTGAACTAAAAGTCTTAATTGAAGAACAGCAATTAGATCCTTATTTGGTTGCATAAAGGGTCAATGGCCAAATTCCCAATGAAGCTAGTCAGTGATCTTGACAATTGTCTTGAATCAGGCCCCAAAAACTTGAGTTATATTCTTCAGAGTGCTGCCAAGCTTGTGAATTCCTATGGTTACTTTAATCAAAGAGATTGTGGCAGTAATTATTTGCTTAAGTGTCTAAAATACATGCGATTTTGTCTTCACTAAATTATCAATACTGTTTATTTTTATTTTTACTGAGTGCCACAACTTTGTGAAAATTAAAAAGGAAATTTCTAAAAGATCAATAATCTTATAGAACCATCTGTGGGCATTTTCATCAATTCCATGCATTAAATCAGTAGGAGTACTTGGTTAGTAAATTCTGGCAATAAATAATAATCTCTCTCTTTAAAAGCTATAATTATCACTGTGTACTTAATATGGAGATGTGAACAGAGCTGATTTATTAAATTTGTAATGTTCTGCTACCTGATTGTGAAGAACAACTAGAAAAAGAGAATTGCGAATTTTCTGTTGGTTATAAAACTATTGAGCATCTCTTTTGTAACACGACGCTGGATTGGATTAGTTTTGTTGATAGACTTGACATGCATAATAGGCCAACAATCTGACATGGCAAAATCCAGGATCAGCCAGAGAGAAAATTTCTGATACAATTATACAAGTCTTCCTGTAATGACATCTGACAACGAGGGAGAAAGTTGAAAAAAAAAAAAAAGACGAAAAACAAGTATACAACAGAAGTTATCATTCACCAAGTGTTTCACCTTTCTTATTAAATATCTTATGCACAACTTTTTGAGTAATTTAAGTAGTATGAGTGAGAAAACGTTACACTTTGCAATGTGAATTAGCAATATCATGAATTTACTGCCTCTCAAGATTGCATAGGGTCCAAGTGCTGCATTTGGGATGATGGCAGACCTCTGCTGAGCATCGTGTTGAAGTAGAAAATGAAGATTTGATAGTTGAGTAAGAAGAAAAAGAAGCGCAATATAAAGTGCATTAAATGATTTTGGGAACTCTTAAGTGTCTAAATAAGCCTCTGAGGTGTTTGTAGAATAACCACACATCTTCAGTTCCATTGTTTGAATGGAATATTAATAATCAGGAATTTGATTACCATCCTAAGCATTCTGATATGAAATTGTCACCTATTGTTCGTTCATGCTATTTCCTTATTCTATGTGCTACCTCTGATAAAGCTTTTGAAGTTGTTAAAGCTACTTCAATTGTTTTCCTGGCTGGTGTAGAGGGAAGGAGCATGCAGCTGCATGAGTGTTTTTATGCCTCTTGGACAGTTGCTTGTGACTTGTCTAGGACTTCCAATTATCTCTTCAGGCTGTCTTTTACTGATTGGACGGTTATGATAGCAAAACAAGATAATAGATTTGGTCTGTCGAGGCACTGATTATGAGGCATCCCACATCGGTGGTGGGAAAATGAAAGGAAAGGTATAAGAACTTGGGTCCTTGGGCTATTAGGCAATATGGGTTAATCATTTTGAGCCAGTGGATTTCGGTCCAAAAATTACTTGGGCCAGCCCTTGGACCCTGGTCATGACAGATTATGTGGGCAGACTTCAGCTCATTAAATGTGTTCAAAATATTGTTTTGTATTGGACTATGGTGTTTGTGCTTCCAAAGTAAGTGTTTAAGAAATTAGATAGTCTATCAGCAGCCTTTTCTTGTCTTCTGGTGAGGAAAGAAATTACTATGGTGCTGAAATTAGTTGGTCTGACATCTATTAACCAGTGAGCAACGGAACCTTGGGACTGACTAAACTTGACCTCTGGATATAATTTCTTTCTAGTGAGCAAGGGGGCCTGGGACTCACTAAACTTGGCCGCTGGAAATAATTTCTTATTCTGACCACGTTTGGAATATCTCTGCATAAAAGGATAGCCTAGTCAACGGGGAATGTTGGTACACCAAATACACAAAACCATAGCTAGCTTTTATAGCTTCTTTTTGGCATCTGTTGATTCTTATCCAATGCTTTGGGTTTTTAGCTGTCAATGATTCCCCATTTTGTATGTGAATGATGCATCTATTATCTAATTCGACCACAAAGCCAATTAAGATTTGTCTATGTTGCAGGTCTCAAACTGCTCCAGACTCTCCATGCGCTAAGTGTTTGCATGGTGTAATTTGAGGCAAAGTTTGACGCGATGCCCATTTAATGCTGTGATTGATCTTGTTCATGGCTTGCTCCCAGTGGTGACTCAGATCAGGGGAAAAAAGCTTTATGTTTTATGGATCCATTTTCCGGGCTTTTCAATTTTCCTTTTGCATTAGAATTTCTCTACTGTTGCAGGCTCCTGGAAGTTAACCATATCTGGAAGTGAATGCAATTGCAGCTGCCTAATCTGCCTTGTAGTTTGTAATAGGCTATTTATGAAAAAGTATGAGGCCTGATTTAACTGTATATTTGCATTATTTACCTGAGACAATGTGGAATTTGACATTCATCAATCATCTTGATCAGACTTGCATCACAAACTTTTGGTGACTTTGTCTGATGCTCTCTGATATCTGGACAGCAAAGGCAGGGACGGACGGACCGATGGATTCTAGTTTTTTTTTTTTTTTTTTTCTTAATTTGGAGGTTTTTTTTTTGGGGGTGGGGTGGGGAATATAGGTTCAGTGGAGTTGAAGAGAGTTAATGCTTGAACAAGGTTTAATGGAGTTGGAGAAGTTCACAGACAAAAGACATTAGTTATGAGGTTGGTGACTTGGGCGCGATAAAGGTCAGTTGCTTATGGCCCTTATGGGGTTAGCGTCTAGTATAAATAAAGTAGTTGATTGAATTTCCTTTGTCTGTCTTTCTGTCTCCTATTTGTATAGCATTTCTTTAAAATTTCCTTTGTCTGTCTTTTTGTCTCCTATTTGTATAAAGTTGTCTATGGCCCTTATGTCGTTTTTTGTGGTATGATCCTCGCACCCTTGATGCCCTTCTACTGGATGTTTATGTTTATGGTTGGGGCATTATTAATCCGTTAGACAGTTTGCAAGTAATTTGACGGCTAAAATTTCCTCTGCATCTATCATTCAGATTGGGAATTGGCAATGGTCTCTAGGTAGGCAGAGGACCACTCAGGTGGAGAGTTTGATTCAAGCTATGCTTGCTAACATAATTCCTGTGCTATCTGAACCTGATTCTCATAGATGGAAATGTGATGCTTCTGGAGACTTTACAACTCAGTCATCAATTCAATTGCTAAGGGATCATTGCAATTGAATTGATGCCCAAATGTTGGGAGTCCTTGCAAGTTTCTTGAATAAGCAATTTGACCTCTATTAACCATCTCTCTCAAAATCAGTCACCTTGAATTAACGGTACAAACTTCCATTATCATATACCATGAAGGTAGGGGTGGTAATTTGCAACACGACCTGAAAACACGACACGAACCTAACACGAAATTAATGGGATTGGGTCGAGGTTTTGGGGGTTCGGGTCAGAATCGGGTCGAACCCGATGAACTCGAAAAGAAAACAGGTCGATTTTGGGTCAACACGTAGTGACATGATATGACCCGATATGACCTGTTTACGAATTAAAAATAGTTTAATAAACATAAAAATTATTTTATCCAACTAAACTAAGTTATTCTCTTTTCTTCAAAGGCATTAATTATTTAATCCTAAATGAATTTATTTAATTTGTGTGAAGTTGAAATTATTATATTTGGACAAATAATATATTGTATTATTTTTTACTTTTATACTGTTTTAATTTATTTTATATTTGATTTGGGATAAAACACTTTTACGGTGTTTAATTTATTTTAGATTTTGTTTGGAATTATTTATTTAAAATTTTATTACTTGATTATGTAATTAGTTTTGTGAGAAATTGATTTTATTAGAAATTACAGTGATAAATCGCCAACCCGAAATTTTCGGGTTCGTGTCAGGTATCTTGACCCGTTTCGGGTTGACGGGTCCGGTTTGGGTCAGCGGGTTTTCTGTTCTACCTGGGTCTCAACTTGACCCGTCAACCCGAATTCGACCTGATTGCCACCCTACATGAAGGTAGCTAATGTCACAAAAACTCTCAAGATTATTAAGCTTTTCAAATTTGCCATTCTTAACACTGTTCCTGTCCCAACTCCATTCAAATTCCATCTTGCACAAACTTGGTTTTCCGAACAACACTGTAGCCTAAGCTGCTTCTTTGCTGTCGACTCGCTCAATTTTGCAGATAATTAGCCTACTGGAGAAGTTATTGAAATGTTCCAGTTCTTTAATTTGATGATTCTGTCTTGACCAACATTACAGAATTTTAATCTTTGAAGACAAGACAGTTACCCTATCTTCGATGGCATTTTAAATTTATATGCAACTACACAAAAATCAAATTGAGCTCTAGTAGAGATTAGCACAGAGACTAGAGAGTATCACTCGTTGATTCTCAAAGTCTCTAAGTTGTAAAGGTTGAAAATAGAGATTGCGAAAATAGATCCAAGACAAAGCATATCTATCAGCCTGCTAATTGAGGTTGGCAACTGCATTGCAAAATACCTGCCCGTGTTAAACTTGCAGGTGACCATAGCATGAAGAGCACTGGTCTCCAAAAGCAAATTTTTTGTACATGTCTAGTATTGACATTTCTAATCGTACATGGCATTTCTGTAAATGATTAATATGCAATACAACAAATCTCATAAATTCTTTTGACACCAGATTATCCACTTAAAATGGAGTGTGCAAGATCATACAGTTTACAATGTGTGATGATGTAATTCTCGTCCACTCTTACATCTAATAACAATGTACTCTTCAGCAGAATGTCACAGAAAAGGTATATCATCATAAGAGTAATTCACTGAATTGGAGACAGCATAATTGAACATACAGAATTGAGAGAAATCATAAATACAGGTGTAGACTAGAGTTTGCATACACTACGATCAATCTCAAAGTGAGAAATCTAGAAATCTTGCACCACTCAGAGTCAAAAGATCAAAAGATACACATTCCATAGGGAGGCTTGTATTTGATTGGCGGGGAGGTTACTGCTCAAGTTTTTGGCATATTCCAACTTCAAATCCTTCAACAAGTGAAAGCTTCTCACTTCGATCTGGCTATATCTCTGTCGAGGGGCTGCGAAGCCTCATTCGCGGCATTTGTCATCTGAATGGAGACAAATTTAGTTTCTAACAGGCTATAAGGCAATTTGATCACCACTAGTTTAAGCGCAATAGTAAACAAACTCCAGAAAGTGGATGTAGTAGATCCAGAAAGTATATCCATGATTATGACAGGGAGGACATACCATGACTTGAAAATCCAGCAAGTATCTTTCCCATGTATTGGCTTATCCACAGCTCTGTTCTTTACCTAGTAAAGATTGAGTGAAAACTCACAACTTTAGGCAAGTTTAGAATAAATGGCAACTAACGAAGACCTTGCTGATTCTATCAATTCTGAAAGTTTGAAGAAAGGACAATATGCGGAAGTGATGAAAATTAGATATATCTTCTTGAATCAGAACATTTTCATCACAAAAATGTACCTCGTGCATGAGCATCCCTGTGGCAAGCCTGAATCATCTTTGATGCAGCTTCTTGGAGAGCTCTGATCCTCTAGGAAATCTATCACTGTCAGCCTCATATACTCCAAACCATAATATTTTGAGGTGGTTCATATCTTCGTGTTATATATTTATTTATATTTGCTTTCCTAATTTCATTATATTTTACAAAAGGTATTTGACTTTGCCTATTCATCATACTTGAGATTCTTGCAGAGCACAAATAACTCACCAAGATTTTTCATGAAAGGTTCCCCTTATAAGGCATAAACATTCTCTTTCACCGGAAGACTGCCATCCACATGCATTCTACTACTAACAAGATTGACCCTCATATCAGAAATTCACTTCCTGCTTGAATTTTATCCATCAGATTTTGATGTATACTCTATGCATCAAACTTCTCCTCTCCTGTGCAAAAATTTGACTTTCTCCACAGTTCCATTGCCTAGTCATTTCGAGGACTCAAAATGACAAATATCTCATAATAAGCTGGAGAACTTTATGCAACATTGAGATGAGCAAAGTGAGAATACTAACCATGGCATGTTTTCCACCAGCCGTCTGATAGCCCTGACTGAGATGAGAGTGTCTGCCCCATCACCAGATTGAGAGAACAGCTTATGCTTATAGCTTTTCATACATCGGAAATTTGAGAACATCTCTTCAGACCATTCATCCAATTTCTAGCCGTCAAACAGCTATAAGACAAAGCAGAATTGCATTATAGAATTAACGACATAAAAGAATGCAATCTCCCTATAATATTGTTCAACAGGCACATAATTTATTACGGTATAAGAGCTAAATCCACAACTAAGAGATGAACCACCTCAAATATTATGGTTTGCTAACTAAGAGATGAACCACCTCAAATAAAGCAGATTGCCTATTATTACCCCATGCAGCTCTATTTGGAAGATATATCAAAGGAATTGCTTCATGGCACGGCTTGGCTATTCAACCATCGGACAAGCATCAGTATTTCTTGATATCTAAGGGACTAATAACTGAAAAAGTTGCCAAGGAGGAATACAAAAAGTGGTGCCTTTTTTTGGGAGGGCGGGGACAAGCGGTCTATAGTGGGCTTTTAAAAAGAAGTATTCCTGATGTTTGAGAATTTGATCATCCAGATCGTCATAAGTTTAGTTCTTAAATTATCTTCTAAGTCAGATAAACTTTTTGTAATCATAAAATTTTCATCAGAATCAAGACTTTACCTCCTGCATGAGATTCCCAGTCGCCAGCCAGAGTAATCTTTGTTGCAGCATCTTGGAGAGCTCTAAGACTCAAGAAAATCTATTACACCCTCAGCCTTTAATACTATGCCATGGGTTTTTACCAATGGTTCATTCTACACTCTCAAACTAGACATAGTATTGCCTACAATACAAGAAAAGATGCCATCAGATCAGAACTGCACAACAATTGAATATAGCAAAGGGAAAAGCGTTAAAAGTCATCCTGAATTGTGCCTAAACCTTCTCTATATAATGAAGGAGAATGAGCTCCCTTTGAAAGAGCCCTGCTGGATCCATTTGAAGTGAATAAGCCCCTCTTCTTTGTAAGTCCAAGAATGTGTAGGTATTTATCTGTGTCACCATATAAAACGAAACTATGGTAGCTGAAGACTTTTGTCCCAATATTTCTGTAACCATATAAAGAAAAGCTCATACATGAAAAAATAAAAGATAAAAACAGACACATAAAGAAAGATGGTTATCAAATACTTTGCCAGACAAAACAAAATAGTCATTACAATTTTCCAATGCAGTGAAAGATGGGCTTTTGTAGCATTTGTTGCTATAGAAGAAATCGCAAAAGAAATAAAGCCGTGAATGCTGATACAAGTACTGCAGGAAGTTAAAAAAGGGTAGTAGATCACAAATCAATGCCGTTAAAATTGAAAGAGAAAAAAAAACGCACAAACACACAAGGGAGAGGTTACCTGGAAAGCAGAAATTCAGAGAGAACCAAGGAAAGACAGGTTTGCAACAGTTATTCAGCAGAAGGTAGGCTGCACAGTCAAAGATTCGATTAATAAACATAATCAATACATTACCGCTGTCAATACCAAGAAAAGATATTAAGGGGAAAGAAATATAGATAGATAAAAAAAAAGCAAAAATCAATTGAAAAAGTTTTGTAGTAGAACAGAGGATTACCTAGTAGCTTTAATTGGAGATTAGCCTTTGATTCGCTGCCCATTAATTATAATTCTGGGAATGTGGGAGATCTTGGACCACTCAGAAATGGGGTCGGTGCTACTGCTGCTGCTGCTCTCTGAATTACATCTTTCCGTTAGAAGGGGACACATTTCAATCCGCAGCTCTGTTAGTCTGGTGAGGCTTCTCATAGATTGGTGAGAGGGTAAATTCTCTAACTTTTTACAATTGTAAAGGTAGAGTCGTTCAAGTGACGAAAGCTTCCCAAACCAATCAGGCAATGATTTTACTCCAAAACCATCTAGTTCAAGATATGTTAGAGCAGAGAGATACTGAAGTTGGTCGGGCAGAGATTCCCAATGAGGCCATCCAACCAGACTCATTTTCCAAAGGAAGGGCAAGTAGGGGTGCATTGGTTTGGGGAGAGCATCAAAGAGGTCTAGGAAGGACTGCTGCTCTGTGGTTTCTGAGAATGGTCCAATCTCTAAGCTTCTCAAGCTTGTAAGAGAACAAAGCTTCCCCTTGGGCAAGTCGGTTAATTTCTTACAGTATGGGATGTCCAGGAAAGAAAGAGAAGGTCTGCGGGTTAAATCAATCGGAAAGGAGATAAGATTGGGGCATCCCCATATTTCCAATTCCTCAAGAGGAGGACGAGGAGGACAAGTAGAGGAGGATGAAGAACTGGAATCCCACTCTGACTCGTATATTTGCGGGATGGACAAATGGGTTAACTCACTGCACATAAAAATCCTTAATTTTCGCAAGGCATTGAGGTACGGATGTACCCTAGGGATTGAAATCGACTTCAGTGAGTGGCACCTGCAAACATGTAATTCCTCTAAGGATCCATGGCCAACCAAATTTTGAGTTGAACCAACAATATGAGTGTATGGTAGCTCAGTGAACCCATTCATATTATCAATAGAAAGACTCGTGAGAGTCCTGAAACTATTGGAAATACATGTCACTATACTTGATCCATTGTTGATGTGCTCAACGTGCAAGTTCTTGAGACACGGAAAATGACTTGGAAAAGTGGCTATTTGGGGACACCTTTTAATCCTCATCGTGTTAAGGACCGGAAACACCACCACTATTCCATCATGATCTAATGCTTCTACCCATTCACGCAAATTTAGCATGTTTTCTAGAATGAGATGTTCAAGTGCTGGAAACAATTGACTGCTACCGCCACTATGCATTATTGATTCACCATAAAAAGAAGGCCCTATGGTTGTTATGTTGTCGAGTCCTTCCAGGTGAAGATATGTGAGGAAGGGCATGTATCCAAGAGTTGGTAACTCCTTGCAATTTCTACAATTTCGCAATTCAAATTTCACCAATTTCCCAAGTTTTCCAATCCATGTCGAAAGTTTATCACCAAAAAATCTTTCAATTGTCAAACCTTTCAAATTTTGGTGAGGATGCAAACCTTCCAACACTTGATTGTATTCATTGTCATTCTCTCTCAAATTATCTGATTCATTCCATAACAATCTCAACTCATTAATGTTTGGCTTCTCAATCAGATTTGCAGACTCGGCTTCTTTCTTGCTTCTCACCAATTCAAGATTTCTTATCTCAAGACTTCCACTGAGATTATTTAAATTTCTCAATTGTCCAATTTGTCGACCCGCCTCTTCACCAATATTGAAAAATGGCAATGTTTGGAGAGAACGCAATTGTCCGATATCAAGAGGCGTCATATCACTAGATTTATCTCCAGAGAAAAAGTCAAAGTGCCTCAAATTCACCAAATTCTTGAAATTGTTTGGGAACTTTGTCAATGATTTGCAATCTCTAACTCTTATCGTCTGCAAATTGTTAAGCTGACAAAGAGACTCTGGTAATATTTTGATCGGAGTATCTGATGAATCGAGGCACCTTAAATGAGACAACTTGTTAATGGATTCGGGAAGCTCCTCGACATCTGATGAAGCTAAGTTTAGCACCCGCAAGCTAGTCAAAGATGAGATCCAACCATCAATATTAATTGATTTGTTCTCCAATAAAAATAATGTTGTTATGTACCTGAAACTCTTGTTCAATGGAAATTGTATTTCTTCCCCACCACTGCTCTCCACTGCAAGATACCGAAAAGTCCTGTCAAGAAAATCTGCTTCTGTTGAGTCTTTCAAACTTCTGGTTTTAGATTTGGAAATGAATTGCACCATATCGTACACAAGATCATGCATTTTGCAGTTCAATACGTTTCCATAATCATCCTTCTCTCCATCTTGAAACAAGTTACTATCCAACAAAATGGTAAAATACTTGTTACCAACTTCCTCCATATGCATTTCGAGTCTCGGATGAAGAAATCCTTCTGCTGCCCAAAGTTGGATTAGTTGATTCCTTTCCATTTGAAAGCCCCTGGGAAAAATTGAACAATACGCAAGACACTTTTTAAGAGATGGATGTGGAAGACGATCAAAACTCAACTTCAAAATTTCAGTAACCACAGTAATTTCATCTCCGCCTAAACTTTGAATCCCAAGCTTTAAAGTTCGCAATTGATCATCTAAAGTTGGCCATTCATCTTCTCCCTTGTTGCGCAGCATGCCACCAAGAACGCTTGCAGCTAATGGTAAGCCTCGGCATCTTTGCGCAATCTTGAATCCTACATGTTGTAGTCCATTCGGCACCTCTCCAGTGCCAAATGCATTTTCTTTGAGAATGAGCCAACATTGATCATCTGATAATTCTTTCAAGGACCAAGGAGGAGAAGAAATTCCCATGATGCTTGCCACTCCTCGGTCACGAGTGGTCACAAGAATCCAGCTCCCCATGGCTTGGCTGATACCAATCAAACTTTCAAGAAAATCATCCCATTGTTCTGAGCGCTTTTCCCAAACATCATCCAAGACCAGTAGATACTTTCTACCATCCAATAATTTCTTAAGCTGCTTGACCTTGACTTCCGTATTCTCAACTTTGGGCATTGGTTCTTTCAATGATTCTAGCATCAACCTAAAAAGCCTATCGGCATTGAAATCCTCCGAAACACACACCCACATTCTCTTGTCAAAATGTTTTTTAATATTTGGATCATTGAAAACTTTTCGAGCGACTGCGGTCTTCCCGATCCCACCCATTCCTACTATGGGAAGAACGGAGATAGTTTCATTGTTATCCGTGGCAGTCAACTGTGCTAGTATTGTTGAAACATCATCATCTCTTCCAACAAAACTCGTATCAATAGTTTCAGGGTCAATCTCTCTGTTCTTTATAAATCTTCCTCCACTAGGAGAGGAGAGAGCACGTTCAAAGTGAAACTGTTCCACGATGCCAAGGGCCATCGCATCTTCATGGATTCTTTCAAAATTCACGTTGATTTCCCGAATTTGTTTTGCCATTTTGCGACGGAATGCAATGGAATTAAAGAGTGAGAAGAAGAAGAAGCATACCTTCCTCTTCGTTTGGTTTTGGATCTCAATCCTGCGCCGATTCATTTCATAGTTGAAGTCATCCAGCAAATTTTCGGCATCGAAAGTGACACGTTCAAGCAGCTCCAGCCAAAGCTTCGCCCACAAGTAAGCCACCTGCTTTTCCTCTGCATCACGAAGGAAAGCCTGGATCATAGTCAACGTGCTCACCAGTCTCGCAAAATCATTCCCGATGCCCGGAAACGGGCCAACATGTGCTGAAGCCAAGTTTATTGCCGTCTCCAGTGCAACATGTACAGTGGGAACAAGCAGTGCATCCGCCATCAGGTCAGGTCACGATATCTGATGAGAGTAAGAAGAGAGACTTGGATTAGTTTTGGGAGTGTGGAATGGAGCCGAACCGGGTGCAATTTGCAAGTTTGAACTTTGAAGGGGAGAAAGAGTAGACTGAATGTAGCAGTAGATGAAATGAAACCAAAAGGAAAATTAATGAAGAAGGAACCCGACAAGCATCACCCACGTCAATGAATGTAGCAGGAGATAAAGCAGTCCAAAAGGAAAATTAAATGAAAAAGGAAGGAAAGGTTCCCGACGAGCATCGCGTTATAGGCAGGCAAATGAATTCTTTACTTATTCCGTACTTCTCTGTTCGAAATGCATTGGGATTCTTTGCTTTTATTCGGTAGACACCTACGTACTGTTGATATATATATATATATATATATAAGAATCCAAATTTATTTATTTGCTGAATTTTTCCTTTTTCAGTCACCTTGTAGTATTTCTTATTCTTCATTATGCTTCACTTCACTCACGTCCTTTTTCTTTTCTCATGAAAGCTTTGAAAGCTTTTTGGGTTATAATTATAGAAGTATCAATACTGAGTCAAAAGGTTACTAAAGGGCGGGAACCACAAACCCATACAATGAGGAAGAGTGTGCCCAAATCATCCTCCATGTTTTAAAAAATTTGGACACTGACTGGAATTTCCAATTGGCCCCACACATTATGAGTTTTTTTCAAAGTTTTATACAACTCCGAAACTTTTACTGTTTCTTTTAATTTCACCATTTTTATAAAGGAATATTAACATGCTGTTTCTTATCATATTTAACCAGTTTTAGGTACCCACAACTATGCTGTCATGCTTTCGATCCTAATTTATCAAATACCAAATACCATAAAAATATACTCTTCCATAATTGTTTCTTGATTTTTTCATAATTTTATTGTGTCATTCATTGACAATACTTTTCATAATTCTCATAAACTTTTTGTATTTTATATCACTTTTTAACTATTACAAGTCAAAATTTGATAAAAGCTTCACCCATGTTTTCATACAAATAAAAACTCTCTTACAACTCTTTAACTTTTCAAACCACTGCTTCAAATGGTTGGGAATTGAGAGAAGTAAAAGGAAATGATCTTGGCATTTTTACAAGAGTGCCCTTACCTTACATTAAAAATGTCTTTTAAAGTAGGTAATTAATTGTAACAAAACTGAACACTTTTAGTTTGTTTGTTGTATGAGTCAATATGAACGTAAAATAATAATTGACTCTTTTAGAAAGATATGCATCATAATCTCTCATCCTACTTGTCCAAGATTGTGAGATGTTATTGAAGAGGGATAATCTTGAAAGATTATTGAAATCCTACATGATTCAAATAATCAAGTAAGAGACCAAGAATAATTTATTGTGCCACACATTCTACCCATTCTTGTTTGATTAAGAATTAAGTGATGGATTTTATCTAATCTAAATATATATATAGCACAATCAAGTATCTTGTAAACAACTAATACATGTGAAATTTTAAATTTAATTCATCAGCAATTGTGGAAATTTATAAGACAAAAATGGAATTCCTTCCTACACCCCAAGTCAATGTGCCTATAATATGAAGAAACTATCAATGAAATAGAAGATTAACTGGTCTTGGAGCAAAAAAATGGGAAGGAACAACTTCTCTGTTTTGTCTCCAGCAGTGTCAGAGACGCTGTTATGAAGGGAAGGAAGTGAGATGAATTTTTGATTTGGTGGGTTTCACAGGGAAGCTAGAAATCACGGGGAATTTAGGGCCTGTTTGGAATCTGAGTTTTTTGGGAGTTTGTCTAAAACTTTACTGTAGTGTACTGTAGAAGTTTTTGGAAAAATTTTTTAAGATGAAAAATTTTTTTAAGTTTTTTTAAGAAGTTTTTTGGAAGTTTTTTTCCTTTTCTTTTTTTTCTTTTCCTTTTTTTTTCTTTTTCTTTTTTTCTTTTTTTTTTCTTTTCTTTCCTCTCTTCTTCTTCTTCTTCCTCTCCCTTCCCACTCCCCCTTCCCTCACCCGTTACTTCTGCGTTGCCTCCCCAGCAGCAATGGTCACCATTTTTTGTCCTTTCTTTTTCTTTTTCTCTTTCTTTTTCTTTCTTTCTTTTTTCTTTTCCTTCCTCCCTTCCCCTTCCCCCTCAAAAACTCCTGTGCCCACAGCTTCTCCGGCCAGCCCTCATGTATCCCCGGTTCCTTCTCTATCTCCAAAGATTCCTCCAACAATACCTGCGGCTTCTCCCTGGTGAATGCTCCGGCAGTGTCACCGCCTGCATCATCTCCAATCGAAAGCTCAACGAGTTCTCCAGTTCCAGCCACTGCAGAGGTTCCATCCGCCGGTGCCAGTGTTCCTTCCACTTCTGCGACACCGGCAAAGTCGCCGGTGATGTTCCCTTCGAGCAGAAACCTGCCAAGTTGCTCACCGGCTGGGACAAGTTTGGCATCGGAAACTTCGCAAGGCCCAGTTGCTGATGAATCGATGCTACCTCCATTCATGGGGGGCCTAATTGTTCTTGCTGGGCACTGAAGAGGTGATGACAGAGGTGGTGGTGACGAAGGAAGAAGAAGAAAAAGGGGAGGTGGGGGAGGAGGTGGAGGTGGGTTGGAGTGGGTGACGGAGGTGGGGACGGAGGTGGTGGTGGGTTGGAGTGGGTGATGGAGGTGGGGACGGAGTGGGAGAGGAAGTAGAAGAAAAAGGGGAGAGAATTTTTTTTTTGTGTGTTTTGGGTATTTTGAGGTGTGTAGGTAAAGAACTTTGTGAAGTTTTTTGGTGTTTCTGTAGCAAAAGTTGTTAAAAAACTTGTAGGAAACAAACTTGCTAAAAACTTGCACTTCCAAACAGGGCCTTAGTTTTTCCCTAGGAGCTTTTTGAGGGTAAAGCTGTCATATTGTAAAAGTAAACTTAAGTTTTCTCCTTTTCGTACCATTTCAGCCGAATTTCGGGTGGAAAATATTTTGGCTTTAGGAAGGAAACGAAATCCGTTCAATTCTTTCGTTAACTTTCCCACTGTTTATTTCAAACGACAGAAATTAAAAAGTCGACGACCAAAACCTTTTGTTTTTTTGACCGTTTCTTGCCTCCCAAATGCACTATTAGTTTTTGGGAAAATGATCAGTTTCATCATTCACATTTCACAAAAATATTCTTTTCGTCCCTCACTTTTAAAACAAAACAATTTCATTCTTGACATTTAAAAACTGAAATTCTTATATCCCTGAACCCAAATTTCAATCTGAATCAAACCATCAATCAACCTGATTACAAATTTTGGGAGTCTAATTGGTAGATCATTTGGTTAACTCAACTTGATATTCATGTAAAATTTAATGAACCAAAAAAGAAAAAATTTATAACATAAAAATGAAAGATTAATCTTTCCTACATTATCATTGTATACACTGACGGTTTTATGTGCCGCCATATCATTTCAATTTAAATTTTAACACCAAATTTTATATTTATGATACACATCTAGATTCGCAAGCGGATATACTAACGGTGTATGAAAAGATTTACAAAAAAAAATCCCACTATTCCAAGACAAAGAATGGCCTTTTATGTTATAATTTTTATTTTTTTTGGTTTAATAAATGTCATGTGAATATGATGAAATTGACCGAGTGATCTATTAATTCTATTTCCAAAATTTATTACTGTGCTATTGAATGGTTTGATTCAGATTGAAAATTAGGTTCAGGGATGTAATAGCTTTAATTTTTAAATGTCAGAGATGAATTTGCTTTATTTTAAAAGTGAGGGACGAAAAGAATATTTTTGCTAAATGTGAAGGATGAAACATGTCATTTTCCCTTAGTTTTTTCCCAAAGAAAGAAAAGAAAAATGTTTTGTTGTTGAAAACAAATTTATTTTGTCTTAGAATTAATTTCTCTAAATTTCACAATAGCCTTAAAAGAAATTTTAGAAGTCAACATTTAATTAGCATTTTTTCAAAATAATAAATTTAATATCTATGATGATTTAAGACAATAGCTTACCAGGTTGACAGGTGTCGAACCTGTACAATAATAAATACCTATTCAAATAAAATACAATATTTGTATATAGTGATGAGTAAGATCCAATCCATAGAAATTAGAGATAATTCATTTCTTCCAGAGTACAAAGTAAGGGGGATTTTTATGTAATTGAGAATTAGTAAACAACTTAGATAAATTAAATAAAATAAAAACTAAATGATAATTTAGCAAAATTAAATCAATAATGAATAATCCCTGTCCAAAAAATAATTTCAGAGATGGTTCACTCAATTGATAATCGATGCAATGATATTTTCATTTACTTACTGATAAACAAGTTATAACGGCTAAACAAGCGATGACAATCAACTTGTCTTTATTGTATCGGTAATCAATGTACGACAGTTAATCACTTCTCTAATCAAGAAATAACCTTAGGTACGATCGTAGAGTTCAAGTTTTCAATTGCCTTAAAAATTAGAGAAACTTTGTTCTAACTAAATAATACGCTGTAAAGGTTATTTTAAATTAGCCCATATGTTCCTCTGATACAAATTCAAGCATGTCAATCATAACTAATTTATACGAATTTTACTGATCTAACTGGTTTTATGTTATTAGATTAAATTAAATATTAGGCCCTTGATATTTAAATAACATAATAACCATAAAAATATTAGTAAATAAAAGAAATAAATATAATTAATTCAATCTCACAATTTTAAATGAATCAAATCCTCTTGTTATTACTTAACTAGAATGAGAAACTAGCGTTCATTGTTGGGAATAACTCAAGCAATTTCATTGACAAAAGTTGCATGAACGTCCCATGATAGAAACGCAAAAGAAGAGACGATGACAAAAACTCTTCGTTCGGTTCTTTGCTTCCTACTAAAACTACTAGTCTCTCGGGATCGGAACAATGTCTTAAAATTCACGAAAGCCAAGAGTCCCTCGTCCTTACGTTTCTTTTCTTTTCCTAACACTACTACTGCTAATTCTCTCGCTCGGAGAAAAGAAAAGATTAAAGGAACTATAATGCCTCCTGCTGTTGTGTTTCCTACTTCTACTAAAGTACTAATATTAAGATAAATCAAAATTGACAACAAGTCAATATCTCTTATTCCATAAAAATAGAAAAGTTCTAATAGTTCTAATAGATAAATTGACTAATATCCTAGTAAGAA